AGCCTGAGGGAGGCCGGGAGAGACGGGACAGTTTGACATTATGAGGTTCCCACAGGCTGAACCACAAATTCCCCCTCTAGTTCTCTCTAATGCAGATGGGCCGGTCTATGCAGACATGACACCGCGACCCACTGCAGAGGGTGTCGCGACCCACTTTTGGGTCGCGACCCACGAGTTGAGAACCGATGATCTAGAAGTTTCTTATTGAAGATGCCCCATAGGATGGACTTCCTCCATGCACTGACACCATATCACTCAGCCTTGTGAATATGCACTTCCTGTGTCACCTCTCGCACAGAGCCTGCCTTCTGAACTGCAACTTACCATATGAACAATGTAACATCATCGTTGCTTGCTGGAAGCAATGCATGATGGGATATGTAGAGGATAAAATTCAAAATGTTAACAGTCACTTATAAAGCCATCCAGAACTCTGCCCCCGATATATCTCAAAATATCACCCTAACCGTCCCCTCCGCTCATCTCAAGACCTCCTGCTTTCCAGCTCCCTTGTCAACTCCTCCCATACTCGCCTCCAGGACTTCTCTAGCGTCTCTCCTATCCTCTGGAACTCTTTACCCCAACCTGTTCGTCTATCTCCCACCTTGACTGCCATTAGGCATTACCTAAAGACTCATCTCTTCAGGGAAGCCTATCCCACCTCAGCCTAACCCCTGAACCATCACGTTCCCAAACAAGTCATCCCCACACAGCTACCTCCTCATTTATCACTGGCCCCTCCCTTTTAGATTGCAAACCCTCAGGGGCAGGGCCCTCCTTACCATCTTGTCTTGAATTGTATTGTGATTGTAATGTCCTCCTTATATTGTAAAGCGCTGCGCAAACTGTTGGTGCTATAAAAATCCTGTATAATAATAGTAATAATAATAATATGTAGTCTTGAGAAATGGAGATTGCATCACATGAAGCAGCAGGGAAAGGAACGCAAAGCACACTGGGACTCCAGGAAGTTGTTGGAAGTGATGGGCAGGCGGAAGGCGGCACTTACACTACATAAAAGGGATTTTTTTAATGTAAGCTTTGATTGTATTATCAGAAACATCTCCCATATGTATTCCTATTACAATGCTGATAACAGGAGAGGAGATGCCGGGACTTTACAACGGAGAACTTTTCAGTGATTTCCACTCACCTCATAGTTCTAGCTGACCTGTGACAATGAGACTGTCACAGGTCGGCTCAGTAGATCGGGAGGTGAGCGAACACATACCGGCGCTCGCTCACCTCTCGATCCTGTCACAGCTCTCTGCCGTGACAGGGGAGGGGCTGGATTCCCCCCTCCCCGCCAGCGCTGACTGGCGGAACGGACGGGGGAGGGGGCAGGTACAGCTGGCTCTGCCTCTAGATAGGCAGAGGCAGCTGTCACTCACGCAGCTGGGCGGATGCCGGCACAATTGTCAGGATGCGCTTCAGCTGCGGCGTCTTAGTATACCGCGAGCAGCTGCCACTGAGGGGTGTGGTCACTGAGGGGCGCTGTAAAGCTTTCTCGCACAGGGCGCCTAAAGGCCTAAGGCCGGCCCTGGCGGCGTCTCAGTATAACGCGAGCTGTAGCTCGCGGTATACTGAGCTTAGGGTGACGGGAGGACGCTTGTTTGTGTCCTCCCGTTACCCTAAGGAGAACTATGGGGAAAAGACCTAACCCCATAGTTCTCCTTTAACTTCCACTTTAAGTGAGAGAGGGGAACTGTATTGCACACAGTCAGTGGGCAGCAAGAAGCACAAATGCAGTGTGTAAGCAGTAGAAATGGCTGCCATGTTGTACACATCTAACTATGATATATAAACAGGAAGAAGATGATTGATGGATAAGATGATTTCCCAGTGTCTTAGGATGACAACGTTCACAGAGATATCTAAAAACAAAATGTAAAGTCTACTGATTCCTAACAAATGTCTCTTCAGAGTAAACTCGGATGAACTGGATGGCTCGGGAGATCTCCGCCATCTCTTCTTGCCTGCAGCACCCCCTGCAGGGGAAGTCTGGGAACTACAAATTCAGAAAACATACAAAAGAATTCCAATGAAAAATATATATTTCTTTTTTTTTAAAACGTCTTTTAAATTTTTTTTTTATACGCTGGTAGATTTCCTGCGAACGTTGATATGGAAAAATCTCATCGGAACATTGGATAATGTCATCAGAGACTTGACGAATGTCGTCCGAAATTTCGTTTGATTTTAACATTCGATTTTGGAATGAATGGAGTGTAGCGCTCACCCCCTAAGGAGCCGCTGGAACAAGCGGGTCATCCATTATAGCCTTGTCATTACCACCACTCTACAGCCTTGGTTCTCAACTAGGTGGGTTGTGACCCACCTAGTTCCACAAAAACAGGAAGAGGAAATCCCTTCCATTGGAGACACTTGTTCTTGTGATAACTGCCTAAGAGCTGATTTGCTTCACATC